ATTTTATGGTATTAATTGATTATTTTACAAAATGGTCTCTTGACTACCTGCTTTTCACTAGGAATGTAGTTTCTACTAAACTACTTGCCCAAATCATAAAATTAAGAGCTCAATTTTTCAATTACTCAATAAAAAAATCAGCTTATTAAATGCTGGTGAGTTTAAATCACATGCATTTAATGAGTATTGCTTTACAATTGGGATTGTCATTGCGCATTCAGTGGCTCGTGTCCATACACAAAATGACTTTGTGGAGTCATTTATCAAACGTCAACAAATAATTGCTAGATAATTACTGATGAAAACAAAACTCTCAACTTCTACTTGGGTTCATGTCATATTATATGCTGCTCATTGGTTCGTATAAGACCAACTGCATATTATCAATATTCATCTTTGCAATTTGCATTTGGTCATGAACCTAATATTTCTCATTTACGAGTTTTCGATTGTGCTGTCCAAATCCCTATTTCACCTCCACAGCGTCCTATAATGGGTTCTCAATGAAGACTTGGAATTTATGTTAGTTTTGATTCACCGTCTATTATTAGGTATCTTGAACATTTAATATGTGATTTGTCTACTGCACATTTGACAAATTGTCATTTTGATGAAATGATTGTCTCAACTTTAGAAGGGGTAAAACTACATCTTGAAAAGTAAGGTGAATTTTTTTAGAATAAGGTAACTCTATCTCACTTTTATCTCCGCGATAATCAATATGAATAAGAAATTGAAAATCATTAACTTGCAACGAATTGCAAATCAATTACCTGATGTATTTGTTGACACACAAAAGTGACAAAGTCGTATATACTAATAGAAAATATTTCAACAAAAAGCATAATCAACCAATTAATTAAAAAAACTCTGTACCTCGAAAAATAAAAGTATAAGAAAAAGACCAATTAAAATTTTTGGAAGAAGTAATATTAGAAACAATTGATCAATCAAATATTGAAAATATGATTCATGCAAAACCACAAGTGTTCGAAAATAATGAGATTTCAATATGTTATCTCATAAATTATGGGAACAAAATAATATTGTTGTAGGTAATATTTTCATTTTTAATGTGGCTCTAGAAATTATACAAAATGAGAATTCTGAACTACAGACTGTTAAGATGTCAACAAAGAAATAATTGGCCAAAATGGAAAGAAGCCATACATGTAGAGTTAAAATCCTTAGAGAAACTAATGTTTGGACTTATAGTTCGAACGCCTAAAAATATAATTTCTGTAGGATACAAGTGGGTTTTTGTAAGGAATAGAAATGAAAATAATGAATTACAAGATACGAGCCCGACTTGTAGCCCAATGTTTCTCATAAAGATTTGAAATTGATTACGAGGAAATATATTATTCCATAATATACACAATCACTTTTTAATTCTTAATTAGTTTGACTGTATCACAAAGACTCGGCATGTGCCTATATATGTAGTAACTGCGTATCTATATGATTCACTTGATAGTGATATATACTTGAAAGTCCTCGAAGGACTTAAAGTGTCAAAACAAATGATACATGCCCAATAGCTATGATATTAATTAAATTGCAAAGATCATTATATGGATTGAAACAATTCGGACGCATGTGGTATAATCATCTTAGCGGCGGGTTATAAAAATGACAATATCTACCCATGTTCTTTCATAATAATAAAAAAATTTATATTTGTAATTGTAGCAATTTATATTGATTATTTAAATTTAATTGGAACTCCTAAAGAGTTCAACAAAATTGTAAATTATTTGAAAAATGAATTTTAGATGAAAAATTTGAAAAAAATCAAATTTTGTTTTGTATTGCTGATTAAATTTTTCCCAAAATAATTATTTATTCATCAATCTTCATATATAAAAACAAAATCTTAAAACGTTTTTATATAGATGAAGCACATCAATTGACATTACCTATGGTTGTTCCATCACTTGGATGTGAAAAAAAAAATCTAATTCATCCACTTGAAGATGGAGAAAATATTTTTGGTCTTGAAATACCATATCTTAGTACAATTGGAGCATTAACCTATCTTACAAATTGGACTCGACTTGGCATAATTTATTTTTATAAATCTCCTTACAAGATATAGTTGTACACTAACTCAAAGACATTGGAAATATCAAACACATTTTTCGTTACCTGCAATGTACTATTGATGTAAGATTATTTTATTCTCAAATGTCAGGATCTACTTTAGTTGGATATGTAGATGCATATTATCTATCTAGTTCATATAAAGTTAAATCACAAACAAGATATGTGTTTGCACATGGATGAACAGTTATATCACAGAGATCTATGAAGCAAACCATGAAAGTAATATCTTCAAATCATTCTGAAATTATTGGATGGAAGCAAATCAAGAATGTGTATGATTGATGAATATGACTCATTATATCCAAGTATCATGAGGATTAACTTCAATAAAATATAGTCCAACAATTTTATATGTTGTATTGCACAATTCAAAGAAGATTATGTGATTGAACGAATCATATTTCTCCAAAATTCTTCTATAAACGTGAGATTCAAAAGACTTGTGATATCAATGTTCAAAAAATTCGCTCAAGTGATATGTCCCTACTAATATAAAAGAGCCAACCCACTGAGCACTATTCATTTGTGAAGTATTTTCCATTCCCATTTTATCCCCACAAATTAATTTTTTTCCCATTTTATCCCCAATTATTTACTGTTCATTTGTGAAACATTTTTCATCCCCATTTTATCAAAACAAAAGGGTAATATAGATTTTTTCCTTACCCACAATTGTTGACTAATAAAACAAAAAAAAAAAAACTTAAGACTCTGCACTGTGCGAAGCATGATGCTCCTCACGGTGTCCGCACAAGCACACCAGGCGTGGTGTGCGGACACCAGGGCGCGATGTCTTTGCACAATGCAGAGACACCGCGAAAATATGAACACAGTGTGTCTCAGCATTGTGCGGAGACACGCCCTCACTGTCTCCGCACAATATGGAGACACCATGTGCCGCGTCACTGCATTGTGCGGAGACATTGCCACAGTGTCTCCGCAAAATGCAAAGACACCGTGTGCGCTATGTCTGCGCATTGTGCAGAGACACCGCCCGTGTCTTCGCAAAATCCGGAGGCAGAGCGTCTCTGTTCCCTCGACGTTTTTTTTCTTATTTTTTTGGCCAAAAATTCTACTGATTTACATTTT